TGCCCTTCTCATGACAGCACCACCAACACACAACATCAAAGTGTTCTTTTTGCAGGAAGATGCAGCAAACAACTTTGCTCGTGGACATTATACGATCGGGAAAGAGATCGTTGATTTGGTTCTTGATCGAATCCGAAAGCTTGCGGACAATTGTGCTTCAGCTGCTTGAGATAGTTTTACGCTTTGCTGATCCCACTCAACCAACCCCTTCCCACACCTTGAACCACCTGAAGCCAACTATGTCGGAAGAAGTGAGCAAATCGTTTGCAGGCACCGGTCTTCAAGGCTTCTGCGTCTACAACGCTTGCGGAGGAGGCACAGGATCCGGCTTGGGTTGCCTGATGCTCGAGCGTCTCTCGGTGGACTATGGGAAGAAGAGCAAGATCTCCTTCACCGTGTGGTGTTGCCCGCAAGTCGCCACGGCTGTTGTAGAGCCTTATAACACTGTCCTGTGCGTGCACTCACTACTCGAGCACACAGATGTCACCATTATGCAGCTTGGATTGGAGAAGTGTCAGTGCGATTGCGACAGCAGGCCATCAACCCATGACTTTTTGGCACAGAATCTCAAAGCCGAGGTACGACAACGAGGCATTGTACGACATTTGCCGCAGGAATCCTGGGTCTTCGTTTGGAACACTTTTCCAGCCACCGGTGTTTGTTAAGAACGAGACTGTGAAGTGCTGAGCTTGCTAAGAAGTCCTCGATCCGGCATGCTGAAGCCCTTCTCAGGAACTTGGACATTGAACGCCCCACGTACACCAACCTCAACCGCCTCATTGCCCAGATCATTTCCAGTCTGACCGCATCGCTGCGCTTCGATGGAGCCTTGAACGTGGACATCACTGAGTTCCAGACCAATCTGGTGCCGTACCCCCGCATCCACTTCATGCTGACCTCGTATGCGCCGGTCATCTCTGCGGAGAAGGCCTACCACGAGCAGCTGTCGGTGGCTGAGATCACCATGTCTGTCTTCGAGCCGGCCTCCATGATGGTCAAGTGTGATCCACGCCACCTGGCCGAACGGTAATCAGTACAGATGTGCAGCTTTTAGACATTTCAGATTGCACTGAAAGATACCAGCAATCACACTTTACCTTTCGCAACGCAGCAGAGTGCTAAGGCCACGGCAAATACATGGCCTGCTGCATGATGTACCGTGGGGCTCTCAGCAGAGTGCCATAACCGCGGCCACGCTCCAGACACATGCCTCAGGGCCTTTGATGTTTTTGCGGATTTTCAGAAGTGAGGCGGAGATGTGGTGCCGAAGGATGTGAACGCCGCCGTGGCGACCATCAAGACCAAGCGCACCATTCAGTTTGTCGACTGGTGCCCGACCGGCTTCAAATGCGGCATCAACTACCAGCCGCCTACCGTGGTGCCCGGTGGTGATCTGGCGAAGGTGATGCGTGCCTGCTGCATGTTCCTTGCCTGAGCATCATGAAGGCAGCTAGCTTTCGCGGAAATTTCCT